GGCAGTGGAAGCCGAGGCCATGGTTCTCTGTCAGGGCTGACCTCTGCCAACCTCTCCCGCTGCCCCCAAGACAGGCACTGGAGTCATGGGAAGCCCAGATACTATTTCTTCTCCTTTTTTCCTTGTAGGGAGAAAGTTTGAGTCTTCTCCATTTGGGACTTTCTGATGCCAGTCTGCACGTGCCCACAGGGCCTCTCATACCACTGTGGTCCTTCTGATGCCAGTCCACACACACCCGTGGGGCCACTGCCTTCAGGTGACCCTAGGCCCACCATCTTGGTCCTCCGCTTTGGGTCCAGTTGAGGTGAGGTTACTGTGTGGTAGGGGATGCCCAACAAAGGGTTAAGTTGCCAGAAGCAGAGTCCCGCCCTTGGGTTTGCTCAGCCAATCAGAGTCTGTCCTGATGAGGTAAAGCTTCTATCCTGGGTAGCATTGGTTGAGTTGGCCGGCCCCATCTCCTGCTGGAGAGAGCCATAAGGGTGGAGTTTCTGTGGAACCAGACAGAACTGGAATTAGCTCGCTGTCTACTCTGGCCTGGGGCTGCCTGACTCCAGGACCTGTCCCTGTTCCTTTCTACGGAGCTCCGCAGACAGACCACCCTGGCACCTCCGGGGCCCCGCCTCTAGCTGACCAGTGGAGATGACAAGGCGTCACTTGTGGGAGAAGTCTCAGAGCCAGAGCAGACACAGGAGGCCTCAGTTTCCCTGCCTGGGCCCCGGAATACAGCAGGTGGTTACCAGGCAGTGACATGGAGCGGTCATCACATGTGCTCAGAGCAGCAGCATTCAGCTTCAACAAGCAAGGCCACTAGATGAATCTTCCTATATAAACATAGCTTTGAAATGGTAACAAGAGCAGCTAGTTCATGGAGTTCTTCTTGTGCACACATGACCTGAGTTTAATCATCAGGAGAACCCTGTCAATCCAGCCACTTTACTGATGAAAACACCTGAGCTCACAGAGTGCCAAGACTTTACACCTCCCATACCACTAGCCGTATTACTTGTGAGCAATCTGTTGGCATATCTGTCTCACCACTGGACTGCGATCTCGCAAGGAAAGAGTGTGGCGGATCCATCTGTGCATTCCCACCATAGAGTCCAGGGTGCACCCAGAGAACAGAGCAGTTACCTGCTGCCCTGCGTTTCCTCTCACATGCCTGGTGGCTGTCGGAAGCCTACTCTCCTCAGGCTTCCCGTGGCCCAGGCCAGCGCTGTGCGTGTAGTGGGGGTTCGGGGGGAGGTTCAGAGAGTGGACGATGAATGTGCAGCCCAGACCACTCTGGACCTCACTGGACCACTCTTAGGACCCAACAGGCACAGCCTTTAAAGCATGGAGTGCCATTCCTAGTCACCTCTGCCCAATTAAAAGAGAGTTCCGGGAAGCCTGGGTGGCTCAGCAGTTGAGCATCTGCCTTTAGCTCAGGGCGTGATCCCAGGAGTCCTGGGATCAAGTCCCGCATCCACCTCCCTGCGAGGAGCCTGCTTCTCCCTCTGCCTGTGTCTCTCATGAATAAATTAAATAAATAAATAAATAAATAAATAAATAAATAAATAAATAAATATGAGTTCCATAGGACAGGTCTCATCCATCTCTGCGACCCCAAAGAACCTAACCTAGTGTCTGGCACAGAGCAGGCATTTATTATGTATATTTGAATAACCAAAATAACATGCAACCGTTTGTCCCTACTGGCTTAGAATCTCAGCAGCCACAGGCGGGACTACCCGTGAGTTATTATTCTACAGTAGAAGCATGCCAGCACACCCCGTGGCCGGGAGTCGAGTAAAAGCTATCCCAGGCAGAAGAAAGGTAGGTTCCCTCCAGGAATAGATGCTGAAGCAATGGGCAGAGTTCTGATGAGAAAGAAGGGTGTGGTGAGTGGAAGGAAGCTGGGTCATTCACTCCTACAGAGAGAGGGAGAGCTTACACAGGCTGACTCAGAGCAGCTCAAAGTGAGCTGAAAAAGGCAACGGAGCTCCCAGAGAAGGGGTGTGGGCTGGACGCTGCCTGCCTCGTTGTGTCTGCACTACCACAGCTGGAGCCCGCCCCCCCCTCCAGCAACCCCCAGGCACCTCAAGACAGCACCGAAAGCCTGTGACTGCCCCACCCCTAAGAGGGGACCCAAGGATCTGGCCCCTACAGGCCGTAGAGTTCACAGGCAACCAAGTCATGCGGAAATCATCCAGAGACTGCATGACCCCAGGCCCTCCGTGATAATCTTCCATGGTGAACTTTCAGGAAGATCTCAAAGTTCAAAGAGCAAGAAAGGGCCAGCTGACCTATGCACGAGTGGGACTGCTGAGGAAGCAGCTGCCAGAGGTCACACGGCAGGTAGTGGCACACCCGCCTCTCTTGTTCTTCGAATCCATCTTCTCCGACCTCCCTCTACCTTTTCCAACAAGCATTTCACGTTCCCATTTATGTTTTGCAAATTTGGAAAGAACTTTGCAACCCTTGAGAGGTGTGAGGGTCCCCCATTCCAAGGTTATCGGCAGGCGCTACTGAACAGGGTTGAGAAAGGGCAGCATGGGACTTTGGGGAGTAGCCTTGCAAGCCCCTCTTTCCCCAGAGAGGCATCTGAGTTAGGGCAGGGAACAGCCTGGGCAAAGGTTTCACTCATGCAGCAGAAGGCGGAGCATTCTCAGAAAGAACAAAGAAAAGGCATTAAAAAAAAAAAAAGGCATGCTACTCAGTCTGGACAAATCAATCAAGTGAGACTTTCTGCCTCAAGAACAAGACGCTGGGGCCTGAGCTTTGCCTGGCCTTCCCTCTTCTCTCTCCCTGGAAGTCAGCAACCTTAGCAGAATGGCTGTGGCCCCACCCTCGGGCAAGGTCCTTCATGGTCACCTCTGAGGCTGCCAGGACCCAGAGGAGCTGAGTGCAGGTGTGGGTTGGCTGGATGGCCACCAGGCCAAGTTGCTAAGGATGCGAAAGCCCTCCTGGAGCTCCATGGGACTGGAGAAAATCATAGTTACCAGAAAGTCTCTCGGGGAGCTTTTTGTAAATGACCAGGAGGACTAAGTCACTAAGACTCCTTAAGTGGGTACGGTGGGGGTTAGGGGTAGGGGAGGTTGGGGGCTTGAGACCCCAAGGGGCCTCCGGGCTGAACAAAAGGTGGTTACATAACTGCCTTCTAAGGAAGGTGGGCCAGTGGGGTGTGCAGGACGGCAGCAGGGTCGGGTTCTCAGGCAAGGAGGCAGTTCTGAAGTTGTCCCCATGCTTTAACCTCCTCCACCCAACACACAGCTGCTCCATTAAAAACACACATGTAAAGCGTTTTGATTTGAAGAGGTGTCTAACTGTGGCCAGCCCAGGGTGCCCATGGGTCTTGGCATGGCCCTGAAGCCAGGCCCCAGCCGCTAGGGCCCTTCCGGTGTCAGCCAGCCACATCCACAGCCTGCAGGGCCCAGAGCCTGTCTCAGAAACTCAGACTCTGTTCAGTCGCTCAGAGTGTCCTCCCAACTGAAGATGGAGAGATCGCCCGAGGCGCTGAGAGGATGTTGGCAGCACACTTCAGAGCCTGCAAACTCTGAAGTTGAAGCAGAAAGAATTCTTCCCCCCCAGACTAGAAGGAGCTAAGGCCAATAACATAAGAAAGCTGGGGTGGGGGTGGGGCATGAGTTCAGCCATGGATCCTCCCAGGGACTGCCCCAGCGAAGAGAATGGCCTGGTTTCTGACTGCGACCAAGCCAAGCAGCCTACAGCCTCCGCCACAGGTCTGTGTTCATAGAAGAACCTGGTGATAGGAAGGTAGCGACAAGGAGCCGGGGCAGAGGTGGGGGCAGTGCACTCCCCACCACTGTGGTTGAGCACCTGCTGCATACCAGGCATTGTGCTGTGAGCTGTATATGCACCATCTCATTTGACTCTCCCAGCAGCCCTTTGGAGGAGGAACTGTTGTTCCCAGATGAGGACATCAAAGCACTGAGTAGTAGAGCGACTTGCCCAAGGTCACACCGCCAGTCAGCATTAGAGTGTGATTCAAAGTTCATGCTCTTCCCACTATCCTCCCTCCACAAAGTTACTCTTGCCCCCTGCCAAGTATAAAACAAAATAATTTCCACGTCTGAGATTCCAGAATTCTCAGACCATCATTCCCTTCCTTAGGGGATAGCTGGGGAGCTGCTGTCCCCCACGGCCGCACCAGAGGCTGCCAGAAACCTCCTGCCTTAGCAGGCCTGTCCCCGCAGCCCCCATATGCCTGCTGAATGCACAGGGGAGAAGAAATAGGGCACCCAGTCTACCGGCTGCCACGCACTTTCATTCATCCTCTCCCCAAGTCAGCAGACCAACCACTCAGATCCTTACGCAGCCAACCAGACCAAATCCCCAAATGGCCAACACTCTCACCAAAGAGAAGTCACCTGCGTGACTCACAAATGGGAACTACAACTGCGCTTGTGGTTGGCATGGAGCCGACAAAGGGCAAGGCTGTGATCTGGCTCCCATCCCCTCCACGGGCACCGGGCCAGCTGAGGGGTGCCTATCCCAGGTCAGCCTCTGCTGGGAGGCCCTAATCTTCCCTGATGCTCTGCTGGCCAGCCCCCAGTCCCCAGCAAACTCCACTTGGGTCCACTTGGCCGTGGCCTGCATCAAACTAGACAGCTTCTGACGCAGATACCTCCTCCCAAAGATGCCTGCCCTCGGCCAGTGTTACACACCAGTGTGCTCCCCCTGGGCACGACATGCCAGGCAGCAGCAGGCCAACCCAAATGAGACCTGGCCATAGGCAAGCCATCGAACAGAGCCGAGAACGGATGGCCATGCCCCATCAGGCTCTGTCACTCCACCTGAGCAACACAAAACCGACTCTGTAGACCCAGTGAGATGCCAAAGGGGAGAGACATTCAAGCACAGGCATCCCTGCTGAGAGCTTGCTGCTCAGATCCAAGTCCTAAGCTGAAGCTGGTCCCAAGCTCAAATCAGAGCCTTGAGGGTCGAGGCTGGCCGAGGGGAAGCCAGGCAGCCAGGGCTGCGGCCACCGGTGAGGCCCTTACCTTGCTCTCCAGGGGCGAAGCGGCCAGCTGTTGCTGCTTGGCGATGTTCTCCGACAGGCACCAGCACACTCTCTTCTTCTGCTCCTGCGAGTGCGCTTCCAAAGTGAATAAGCACTCTGCCTTCTGACGTCAGGGAAAACAGAGAAAAGGATGGTCAGGGCTGCTCCCTGGTTCAGGGGGCTCCCATGCCCCAGCCCATCCCTGGGCTCCAGAGGGTGAGGCTGCAGCAGGGAGGGGAGGGCCCACTAAAAGCCACAAATGCACACTAATCCCCAGTGACATCGAGGCAGCCAGAGGAGCAGGGAAGCTGGTTCGGGGGCCAGCTGGCGAGGGAGCGGTGTGCCCGCGGGATGGGGGGAAGGGCGGGAGGCGTTGGTTCCCAACACAGTGGAGGCCTGTGGAGAGCCACAGGACAGAAATGGTGAGGTCACCCCCGGGGACAGGCAGCACAAGGCAGCAGCTGGGGGAGCACAGGGGAACCCAGAGGGCCAAGGTCTCCAGGCCTCTGACGCTCTGTGGAGCCCGGACCCCCTTCCCGCTCACACAGCACCCCCTCCCCCACCTCGGTGCAAGATCTGATCACAAGGGCAAGGTTAGATGGGCAGGTGGACAGACGTACCAAGAGAACTCAGACAGAAACTCAGGTCCCTTGAGAAAGTCTTTGGCAGGTGCAGTCATGTGGCCCCTACGGCCGTACTAGTGCCTGGCATGGGAGCCGGGGGCGCCCCAGGGCTCCTCAGCTCCGTCAAGTGCAATGACAGACTCCAGCACGAGCGCTGCTGTCATTCCAATCTCATCTTGCCATGTAACCTTGTTAAGTGCAGTCTCGTCCCCCCAACTAGACTAGAAAGTCGTTCCAGAAAGGCCTTTTCCATCTGGGCCCAGCACGGTGCGTGGCCAGTGATGGCCTCGGTAAGCTCTGGCTCCCGGAGGGACTTCGGGATGAGGTCAAAGGCAGGCCAGCTTTGGCACAAGCACCAGGGCGCTGCCTGCTGAGACCCAGGGAGGGGGGCCCCCCTGGGGCAGGGGTGGGAATGGGGGTAGCTGGACCATGCTGGGGGGAGGGGCGGGGGGGCAGTCCAGCACGCCCAGAGCGATCATCCACTCTAGAACACTCTGGTCAGGGGACTGCAGGCTCTTTCTGACTCCACTGGAATTTGATTATAACCTCACAGGGCTGCGATTACATGAGCTCTGCCGGGGAGCTGAGAGCATGGGCTGGATGGCTTGGAACAGAGAAAAGGGCAGTGTTTCTATGCAGTCCTTGTTCCTCGGACTTCTATTGCAGTCGTTCTCGGAGGTCCACAGCTAGGAGGAAGTGGCAAGGATTGAATGAATCCCAGCCTTGCCACTTCCTAGCTGTGGACCTCAGGAAAGCCTGTCAGATGCCAATGGTAATGACATCACCCCCTCTTGGTGCTCGTGAGCGAGCAGGGAAGTCACAAGAACAGTCCGAGGCCTCGACAGAGAGCAGCTACTGTTGTTATTACTCAGTCCTTTGCTCACTTAATAAATATTTACTGAGCGCCTGCTACATGTCAGAGGCTGTACTAGGTCGTAGGGGGGTAAGAAGCAAGTAAGAGACACGGAGCCCTGGCCCTCAGGTTGGGGCAGAGACCATAAACCATTGAACAATGGAATAATATCATTACCAATTGTGAAAAGGCTAAAAGGGAGAGGTTCTGCTTGAGCCTGGTGGTCAGAGAAGGCCTCTCTGCAGGGGTGGCATGCGGGTGAAGGCCTGAACCATATAGGCCGGCGAGGCAACTGCTTGGGAGAAACTGTTCCAGGCAGAAGGAACAGCACATGCAATGGCTCTGAGCTGGGATGGCTACCAGCATCTTCGAATAGCATGCAGGGACGTTCACCCAACCCTTCAGGGTGGGGTCGGCTCCCATGCTAAGTGTTCCCAGCATGCCAGCCGCTCCTTCCTGCCCCAAAGTGCTCAGGCGCTGGTCTTCCTAAAAGCATCAGAGAGGGAAGAAATCGCCACCCTTTGGCTTCAGAGAACTGGGCAGATGTGGTGAGGCAATTGTCCCACTTAACAACAGATCCCCTCCACTTCTCAGAACTGCCCCCCCACCCCCCAGTCTGCTGCAGGGAAAGGACAGGCCCAGCAAAGAAGACCCCAGGATTCCCCAGAGGGAAGCCAGCTAGGGCAGAACGTGTCTCACCATGTTCCCCGGCCAGGTCAGGGGTGAGGCAAGGACCATGGTCCCTTCCAGCCTAGACAGGCCATCTCTCCACAAAGCTGGCCCTGCCTGGACCTAGCGTTTAGGGCTTCAGCACATCCCTTAAGCTCCCAGAGCCAAACCTCTTCTTCTCTTTCTGTTCCAAAGCAAGAATTTTAGCCTTAATAACAATTCATTTTCTCTAATTATCAGTTTTAAAGAGCGCTTTCCTTTTTTTTTTTTTTTTTTTTTAAAGAGCGCTTTCCTATCCATGCTCTCATTTTGATCTCGACAATTTCATGAAGAGGTAGGAAGGGCTTAGACGGTTGCTCCCAAAAGCAAGGAAGGGGAAAACCATGGCTCAGAGTGGCTAAGGGCCTCCTCCAACTCTTATTGCCAGCAAGTCCCAGAAGCAAGACTCAAAGCCTTGGAGAAACACCCGCTGAGATTTCATCCCCCAAACCTGAGAGGCCCCCAGGAGGCCTGCTGAGTCACTGCCCACTGGCAGGAATGCTCCCCCTTGCAGACTGGGCCCAGAAGCAACCAGAGCACGAAAGCCTTCAAAGAGCCCTGCCAGCCAGTGGGTCTCAGAGCAGCTGCAGAGCTCACTGGTAACTTTTTGTACTACTCTACACTGCTCTGAGCTCCAGGATCGTGTGCCTTTCTACAGAAGTGCAGGAAAGCCTCCCCTCACAGTGAGAGGGCTGCCAGCAAACTCATCTTGAGTCACCCCCCCCCCACATACCATACCCCACACAGTGCTAAGCACTTCACTAGGGGGGTCTCAGTACTTCCAATAACCTTGCAAGGTAAAGGCTGTGATTATCTCCATTTTACTGACAACCACAAGAACCACTTCCTCTTCCTTGCCCTGTAGATAATCTCTTTTTAGAAAATCGTGTTTCTCCCTGCCTGGGATGGTAACCATATGACCTATCTCAATGTAGAGTTCAGGGCTGAGTCTCTGGCTCTGAGAGCTTGAAGCTGAAAGCCCCATAATGCTAGAGAATCCAGAAGCCTTCTGAGGCACCAAAGACCTAAACCCAGGCCTGGCCCCAGGGGCCAGGGGTTGGCTGTCTTAGATGGGCAAACATGTTGGGGAGGCCCTTGCTCCCAAGGCTCCTTTCTAGGAGCTTTGGAGGCTGATCTGGTCAAGAGAGAAAGCCTAGAACCAACTTCCTCCAGGGTAGCTGAATTCCCATCTGTATACATCTGTCAAATCAAGGACCTATTGCCTGCCTGGCTGCCCTGCATATGAACAGTCTCTCTTAATCCCGAGTGATCTAACTCATTGGTTTCAATGCCGTTGCACACCATGCCCTCACATACCAGGACCCAGGGTCGAGGCCATAAGCAGCCTTAAAGGCATCCTCATGTAACTCACTCAGAGAAGGGGCCTCCTGATGGAGCACTGGGCCTGGATTTCTGCATTCAAACACGAGCATCCTCAAATCCAGCCAGAAACCTGGGTGCTCCCGGCCTCTGTAAAACCCCTGTCTTGGGCAGCCCGGGTGGCTCAGTGGTTTAGTGCCGCCTTCGGCCCAGGGCCTGATCCTGGAGACCTGGGATCGAGTCCCATGTCAGGCTCCCTGCATGGAGCCTGCTTCTCCCTCTGCCTGTGTCTCTGCCTCTCTCTCTCTCTCTCTCTCTCTCTGTGTGTGTGTGTGCATGTATCTCTCATGAATGAATAAATAAAATCTTAAAAAAAACAAAAACCTGTCTTGCCATATCTCCTTGAATTAGTATTATCTTTGTAGGAACTAAAACCCCTCCTGCTACTGTTTGTTCACTTGCCTTTACAAACATCCTCTCATTTAAGTCTAATGACTTTATGACACAGGTAGGAAGGAAAGGCACAGCCTTTCATTTTTCAGATGAGAACACTGAGGCTTGGAGAGGGTAAGTCAGCGGCCCGGGGAGACCTCAGGAAAGGAGATTCAGAGTCTGTCCCCTGCCTCCCCTAGAGCCTGCAGTCTTACCGCGTTTGTGTAACTCTGTATGTACATTACAAGGAACATGAGATATTCCTCTTAGCTTTCTTTTTAAAAGGTCAATAAATCATTGGTGATGTCTCTAATGGAGAATAAATGAATATGAAAAGCTCTCCCCCTGTTATGAAGCTGACAATAACAATAACTACCATTTATGGAGCACTCACCCTGTGCCAGGCTCTGTGCTAAGTGCCTTGACCAGGGTATCTTATTGAATCTCATTTAATCATTACAACAGCCCTGCCAGGTAGGCCCCATCAGCCTTGTTTCAGAGAGGAGTACGTGACTGGCCCAGATCACTCAGTTAGGAAATGGGCAGAGCCATGATTCAAGTCTAGGTCTTCCTAACCCCAAAGCGCAGACTCTCAAATTAATGGAGCCAGGATCAAATCCCAAGAGAATAGTTCTTGACCGACATGCCGTTTGTCCCAGTGACCTTGGTGTTCCCAAGCCAGTAGGAGGCTGTGTCTGTCCCACAGGTTTGCAGGGGCTGAGGGATACCTGTCCAGGAAAATAGAGACTCCAGGGCCGAGGACTACTTAGGACAATCCCACCCAGCACCTACTGCTAGGAAACAACCAAAGCTGCTGCCCACCCACCCCCTCCCCAGGCAATTGAGGCTTTTGGAGTGCAGTAGAAAACCTCTCAAACTCCTAACTCTCTTGCCCCAGTTTCTTTTCTGGGTGCTTCCTGCATGTTAGACAATGAAGATAAACCACTTGTCAGAAGGTCCAGTGACGATGTGAGTTTGGGGTTCCCCGTGGGATCCAAAAGCATCGTGTTGAGCCTATGTGGGGCCACAGAGCAAGCAGGCATCCTGTCTTCCCGTTACAGACGTGCCTCTCACAACAGCCTCTTAGGAGAAAAGAGGCTTCTGGCTGCCTGTGAGCTCCGATCTCCAGCCCCTCTGGATTAGAACTCCTGGCACTTTAACTGAAATAAAAGGCCCTGAATCAATATCCCTTCATCAATCTTTAGAGAGCTAGGCGGTCACAGTTCCCTGGAAGCCAATAAGCAGAAGTGCTTTTCTCTGGACAAAACAAACCAGCCTGGCAGGAAGCTCTCCTGGCATTAAAGAACCTGGAGCTTCATTTCAGGCCCTGCCAGGGAGAGCTAGAATCCAGAGGGGTGAGGCTGAGGGGCCAGTGCTCTGACTTTTCCCAGCCTCGTTCACAGCTGCTAGGCTGGTGGCTGGGCTCTGTGGAACCGACTACCCATGGGCTCTGAAGCGCCTCTGCCAGCTACTTCCTGTGCCTGGTGGAATGTGCCAACCAGGGGAAGACATCCAATGCCTTCCTGGGCCTTGGGTCACCATTCTAGGCAGTCAAGGTCCTCAGTTCAGCTCCAACAATGTCCACTGCCCTTTAAAATGCTCTGCCCTCCCATGAAGCTAACTGGTCAACTCCGCCTTCTCCCCCAGGCATCTGTTCAGCCAAGGGGACTCTCTCGAAGGCCTGAACCCCTTTTCATAGCCAGGAACTAAAGGGATGATTTTTAATCGTAAGCGACATACACACTCCTTCTCCAAAGGGTACCTTCCTCTTGGACAGCGAGTATAGACCATGCCCTGCCCACAGCATCTTGTCCCACCAGACAGGTTGGTGTGTCCAGGACTTTTAGGTGGAACAGACTTAAGTAGAAGCAGAGGCTGGGAACGGGTCTAACGAATCCTTGCTTAGAGTGGATACTGCCCCTGCTCCTATTAGCAGAGACATGAGATTGGGAATAGAAATTTGGCTGAAAATTCAAGAGTTTCTATGGCTCCGTAGCAATCAATGTTTTCATCACCACGGACTTCTGTGATTAAAGCCCTGGTGTGATGATATTTTATCTCCCAAAGTATATCAAGCAGTAAGTTGTCTGCCTGCTTTTGTTCAGCAAAGGCATAGCACCGCCCATACGTGCTTCTGAGCAGACTGAGATAACCAGGAATACCAATCACACGGAGTGGGCATCATTCCAGCCCCAAAGCGCAGACACTCAATGTTTCATTTAGCCTGCATTAGCTGGCCCAGGTAAACGTGCAATTACATCTGTGCCCTTTAAAACGCTAACAAGATTCTTCGAGAGGGGTCATGGGTGGTACTTCCTGGAAAAAGAGGGAGAAAGAGGCAGGCACAAGAACCAGGGCAAATCTCCAGAAGCAAGGCTACCAACCAAGTAAAGAAAATGATGCATAGCTGTCAGGCCACAGCCTCACTCTGACCCCTGCAGGTGCTGGAGACCAGAGGGTCCTAAGTGGGGGATCACAATGTCCTTCTGTCCCCTCGGGGCATTTTTTTTAAGATTTTCTATATTTATTTGACAGAGCGAGCAGCAGGGGGAACGGCAGAGGGAGAGGGAGAAGCAGGCTCCTCGCTAAGCAGGGAGCCCGATGTGGGGCTCGATTCCAGGACCCTGGGATCACGACTAGCAGAAGAAAGATGCTTCACCGACTGAGCCACCCAGGTACCCCCCTTCTAGGCACTTCTGTGCCCACTGCTCTTCTACGCAGAGGTGAGAGACACTGAGGTAGGGACTCCTGTCCCCATTCTAGGGCAGGAAACCCCCCAGGACCACGGTATGAGATGACATGGAGCCTGGCACTGGAACCCAGGACTAGACACAGACCAATGTCTTCCCACTAGCACCAGGCCACAGAGCTCTCTCTTCAGATCCAGAGGCAAGGACTCACCTCTGCTAGGTACAGCACACAGAATTTCAGGTCTTCTGAAGAACCTTGGAGGAAAGAAAATATAAGACTTGCGTTAGAGTCGGCAACACAGTCTAAGCAGCTATAGTACTGCCAGCTGCCTCGCCCAGAAGCCCGTGTGCAGTACCTTCCAGAAAAAGAGGAAGAAGGAGGCAGGCACAGGGGACAGGGAAATCTCTAGAGGGAAACGCACTTAGGAACTAAGCAGATGGAGGCACAGCAGTAAGGGCTTTACCCACAGGTCTGCATCACCCCAAGGATGCTGCAGTCCCACTCCCTTGACAGGCAGCCAGGAACACCTCTGGGCACAGGTTCAGGGAGCTGTCACCTGCCTCAGAAGGCTTCGGTCTTTCCATGCTCCCTGCCATGAGGGACACGGAGGGACACAGAGGCAGCACATATTTGGGTTTTCCTTGAAACGCTCCCAATTGCCTTTGCCATTTCAAGGTTCAACAAGGGGCCACTTACTTGCTGGATGGACCTAGGAATGTGTGGGCTGTGCAGCGAGATCCCCAGTCATGGGCTGGATGTTGCCCGCAGATGGCCTCCCAGCCTGGGCCCAGCCCCTCAGTGTGTTTTCCTAGAGCCCCGATTTCCAATCCCAAACTGCCCACCCTCCACTTCTCCACCTGGGAGGCAGCTGGGAGGAACCGTCGGGCTCCCCGTGCCTCCAGCAGAGGGGCTAAGGCAGAGAACCTACAGACGACCCATTTGGTCCCAGCGCTTCAGAAACACTAAGACCAAGAGGTGACCCCTGGCTGCTGGGGAAGGCTCCTTGGAGGAGGATCCTCTTGAACTTCAATGCAAGATGGGAAGAAGGACACTCTGGGAGGTGGGAACAGCACTGGCAAAGGCACGGACGTGCAGAAGCACAAGCTGTGGTTCAAGGGATAGCAAGTGTGAGGAAGAAACCCTGCCCCTTCCCTGACCATTGCGGGCTGCTCCTCGGAACCTGGCATCACTCCCCACCGGGGCATTCTTCGGGGCACAGACCAGGGATGGTTAGCAATTTCCTGAATTTCAAGCAATTGACCTCACTGGGCAGGTAGTCATTTTTGAGAGAAACAACCATACCACATGTATAACAACACACACTTACAGTGCCATGTGCCGACCGCTGTGCCACCTGCTGTCCGTGCAGAAGCTCGACCCTTGCAACAACCCCCAGGATGCAGAGGCCACTAGCATCCATGATTCGTGTGGGGAAAACTGAGGCTCAACACACATTTGAATCGAAGAAATTGTCCGAAAAACCAAAATGGGTTGCAAAGTAAAGCTGACCAGGTAACAGAGATAGTGGGGCAAGCCAACTTCTAAGGAAAGCAGTGAGTGAAGGCCCTCGTGTGGGTGAAGACCAGGTCCCCCTGCAGCAAGCATACCGGCAGTTCCCTAGGGCCAGGGGTGCCAGCAAGAGCCAGAGAAAAATAGTCCAATAGTCCAATGCGGGGGTGGGGGGCAGGGGAGTTCACTCTGGACTCAGAAGAAATCCTGCTACTTCTCCTCACCTAAAGGAGGGTCGGGACGGGGAGGGCCCCCCTAGGAAGCTCATCATGTTTAAGAAACCTCCCATTTGGAAACTTCCACCAACTATTTGCCTTGCTGAGGGTGGAGACAAGGGGAGGTGGTTTCTTTTGTTTAAGAAAACATTCTGGATGCCTCCTTGGCTTTTTCTAGAAGCAGATCTTAGTGCCAAGGGAGAAACAAAAAGATCTATGTAAGAAAATAACAGAAATGTGGGTTTTAGAAGCTGGCAGTGAGAGAAAAGAAGGCTCCAGATGGGAGGGGAAAGCCAAGGAGATGGGAGCCTCGGGGAGACAGGAGGCCGAGAGGTTGGGGGAGGCTCAGCCTACGACATATTCCCAATGGCAGGGGGTGGTTGACGGCTGCTTGACAACTTCCTGGGCTGTGACACCCCCTGCCACCACCCTCCTACATTACCCCAAACCTTCCCTGAAGTCTGTTCCACATCACAGCCTTGTGCTGGCAGCGCTTTGAGAGAAGGATGGAATGGGGGCAGCGCTCAGCATGGCTCAGAGCCTCAACAAGGGACAGCAAGCCCCCGGAGCCCAGGGTGCCAGGAAGGAGGCGTAGCCGCGGAAAAGTGGTGGCTGACCCAGGAGAGCCACCTCACCCCGTCAGAAACCCTTCTGGGACATTAGACTGGGCCCTGGGCTTTCCAGAGTGTGGAGAAGTACAAAGAAAAGAGACCTGGAGGCAGCACACATTTGGGTTTTCCATCCAACACTCCAGCTACCTTCATCATTTTGAAATTCCACTGCAAGTCACTGGCTGCTGGGTGAACCCTGCTTCCCACCAAGGACTGTGGGCCATGCAGAGAGAGGTCCAGAGGCCCAGAGATGGCTTCCTCTCGAGTCTGATCCCTCTGTCATGTTCCCAGAGCCCTCTCAAGCCTGCTCTGAGATCCCAAACTCAGCCATTCGCCAAGCACTCCCTATGCTTGCATGACAAAGCCAAGAGGGGTGTTGTTTCCATTTTCCAGTTGCAGAAACTGAGACCCAGGGAGAGAAAACAATTTGTACAGGCATGCAGTAAATGAGGGGTGGAGCTGAGATTCGAACCCAGGCTGGCTGCCTCTGAAGCCCGAGTTCCAACCAGTGCGTCACATTTCTGTTCCCCCTGTCCCACACCCCTTTACTTCTCTGCATCCCACCAGACTCTGTACTCCTACTCCAGAGGTGGGAATGTGTCTCTCCCCCTGCTATGGCCTTGGAGGCAGCTGGCACTGAGGTGAGCTTGAAGGATGTGCTCAGCAAATGTCAGCTGACTAAATTTAACTCCAAGCATTCCAGCAGCTGGAACCCTAAGCAGCTGAGTTCCCGAGACTGGGTACCTGGCTCCCTCATGGTGGATGGAGAGCCCAAGAATCAGCTGGACATTTCCAGGCCATCCTAAGAGAACAGAGCAGGCCAGGAAGACACCCTGTGGGTGGGACGCTGGCCCCTGGGAGAGAGAAATATAAAGACCAGCAAAGCCAGTGGGCGGCAGAGACTGGAAGAGGCCACAATGGGCCCTGGATGACCAGAGATGTCCCAATTGTTAGCACCAACTCTCCACCTGTTCCCATTATGCTGCCATTCAGACCTGCTGTAGTTTGGGGGATGCTGGGGAGGAGGGCAGGCGAGGTTCACGTGGCCACCACCAGCTGGGAGCCCTGGAGAAGTGTGCCCCAGCCCCTGAGCTGCGCAGCACTTCCAGTCTCCTAGTCGCTCTCGCATTCATTCAGCCAACAGACATTCACTGGGCACTCAAATGCTCTGTGCCTCGTGCTAGGCCCTGAGAGGATGCTTGGCCAGCAGAGCTAAGCTCCATTCGGGCAACTCACACACCGCAGTCATTGCTCCCTGGGTGGCATAGGGTCTTTCCTGCTGGGAAAAGCCCTTGTCAGCCCCAGCCCGCAGGAAAGGCAGGGTGTGCTCCTTATTACCATCTTCTTTGCCCCAAACTGAACTTTCTATGCATGTTGACACACCTGGGAGGCATGAGCAACACTAATCAGAGGCCATTCTGTCAATAGAAGCTCCAGCAGAGGCCCCAGATGGATCTCTTAAAAGCCTCACTCAGGCCCTTGCTGCTGCAGTGGAAGATGGGCTGGAGGCCAGGTGCCGGGACTCAGGACCCTGGGTCCCACAGCCCCAACTCCAACTGCAGGATAAGGGGACACTGGATTTCTGTGAGCCCCGGGAACCACAAGCCTGTCTCAGGGGGGGCGGAGGCAGGGGGAGGAGGGAGGGGCTCCACCAACGTCTGGAGGAAAATCTAAGAGATGAGACATGCACTTGTATGCTCAGTGTCACCGAGCCTTGTCCCTGGAGAGCCATGTTCACTGTTTGCTGGAGAAGGGGCTGAAGAAGGGCAAGACAACATGTCTGCACCAAACCACCTGCACCAAACCGTCGCAGCAAGTCCAGAATACGTGCACACTCACACACACACACCTCGACACCCATGCCAAGCCAGCAGGCTCTGCTGGCCGTGGTCCTCTCTCCTGAGGAGTGCCAGCCTTGGCCACCCTCAGCCTACCATCTACCTGCAGGGAGAGGATGTGGTCTCTAGCTCAAGGAAGCCATGTCTGCACAAGGCTATTGCTTACATGAGCTCAGCATCTGGAAGGTCTCTGCAACACCTGAGGCCCCACACCACCCACTCGGACCAGCCACCACCCAGTGGAAGACGGAGCTCACCCAGACTCTAACTTCAAGGCTTGGGTCTGAGGGCTCCAGGAGGGGAAGAGCCAACCAATCCCCAGCCGAGCACCCCCAGCCCACCCCAAGGGGTGGAGGCAGGATGTTTGGGCACCATCTATACCATCTCACAGCAACCTCATGTCAGGGCATGTCAGGGCTGGGAAAGACCATCAAGGATGGGTCCAACCCATCCTTCACAGTCTGAGACACCAGAGTCCAGAAAAGGGCGCCAGCCAGCTGAAGTCACAGGGCATGTTAGCAAACCCCAAACTCCCAGCTCTGACCCTCTGCTCTTCCACGGCCTCTTCTCTCCCACTCCAGTCCCATCACAAAGCATGGCCAGTTTGAGCCTCTCTTCTTTCCCCTCCCCTCTTCTAGCAGGAGGCTGAGCAGATGAGTGTCCTGGGCTCGTGGCCCCAGACCTGGGTGATGAGCATGATGAGCACAACTGAGTAAAGGTCTGGGTCTTATAATCAGTCTGTGCATATTATCGGGCACCCCATCCCTGGCTGGGTCCTGATTGAGGCAGGGTATGTGTGCAGGGGGTGGCAGGGATGGGAGAAGAGGGTGGAGGGGTGAGCAGGGGAAGCTGGGTCTGAGGGAAACAGGGAGGGGCAGGGAAGCCCTGGGCAGAGTCTGCTGCAGCTCTCACCTGCCCGCCCACCCCCCGCAGGCCCTGGGGAGCCAGGGTGGGAGCTGCAGCAGAGCTTAATCAGAGGGCTGCCTGTGGCTACCCTGCAGGAGGGGCTGGCCCCGAGACGGGTGACCTGCTTCTCCCCACTCAGGGGCGGCCCTGCTCGGTGGGCAGGAGAAAGCTCGAGGCAGAGAAGAAGTTGTAAGTGACTTCCTGTGGGGCGGCCCGAGGGGAGGTTCTCACACTCCCTGGGTTCCTGAGGAGGAGGAACCGTGCACAGGAACACAGGACGGCTCTGCAAACAGGCAGGAAGTTCTCCTGGAGCAAAACCCGTCAAAACAGAATTCTTTCGCAGGGTAATATTTTCCTCTCTGCCCCTGTCGCCCGTGCTCAAACAGGTCTGTTGTTGTTTTCATAATGTGGGAGAGGAAATCAAGCCCCTTTCAGCAGGGACTTTAGGCGCCAAACCAAACCGCTCAACAGATACTCCCAGCTGGCTTCCCGTTCCCGAGTAGAGGAGGCCCGATGGAAAGTTTGCGGGGGACCTTGGCTCCACGGTCTCCCGGGACCCCTGCTCCCCGGGCCCTGGCCTGGGCCATGCGGCTGGGTGCAGAAGGGGCAGTGCTCTCCTGTCTGGGATGTGCGTGGCAAGTGGGGCAGCAGGCAGCAAGCACCGGGCACCTGGTGTGGGCCAGGCCCCTGCATATGACCTTAGTAAATCTGCACAGCAACCTACCGACAGCCCCACTTACACGTGAGCCCCCAGGCTCAAAAAGGTTGGAGTAGAACGTGCCCAAGATCACAGGCAGTGAGCGGCAGGGCCGAGATCTAAGCACAGGTCTGTGTGAGCCCAAAGCTCTTCCCACTCCACGGCCTCCCTGAAATGTGTCTGGACCAGAAACCTCCCAGTGGAGCTCAGGGCGTACAGCCTAGGATGAAACGCCAGTGTCGCAGAGCCTAGCGGCCCAGGGACAGGACTGGCCCCAACCCCACATGCTCAGATGCCCCACTGATGGCTGGCAGCCCGCCTGGCAGACGGGTCAAATCCAAACTGTGCATCCGTACCGCCCAGAGTAGCAGGACTCAGGGCAAGCAGGAGGGAGTCCAGGGCACCTGGGGCACGCACTTACCTTCCTGCAGCTTCACGCTCTGGAGGTAGAGGGGGTTCCTCAGGACATTGCAGCGGCCCGGCTCATCTTCCTTGGTGAAGAGCAGCAGGTCCGAGTAGGCAAACAGCGTCACCTGCATCCCAAGAGAGCAAACAGAATTGGCTGCTCTGCTGCCCCAGAGCCCAGAAGCCACGGTCTCCCTGGGAGGCCCAAGTAAGGAGTCTTGGTCATCTCTGGCAGAACTAGGATCAGACTCTCAGTGTGGCCTTGGCCAAGGACAGTGTGATCTACAATCAGGACTTCCCTTTGGTCTAGAGTTTTCTACACCTCTAACTCTTTATCATGGGGAGGGTGTAGGGAAATAGGATAAAACACGACCCTCACCTTCCACGGCAGGTGACCCCTGCAGGCCTCTCCACCTCCACAGCCCAACCCCCGCCAGGCCATCTTTCTGACTACAGGCCCCTGGAATCTTCAGCCCAGCGCTGCTGGCTTGGCGCCACTCGGGAGCTGCGGGATGTTGGCACATTTGCTTGTATTCTCCTCTAAATGTCTGGCTGAAAGAGCGCTGCACTTGGAGTCAGAAGTCACAAGGCTCTCCACTAAGGAGCCATGAAAACCTGGTTAGGGTCCCCAGAGCTGATGCTTCAGTTTTCTCATCTGTACAGACAGGGGAGTGTCCCTGCCCAGGTCCCTCACAGGCTTCTTTCACGAACCCTGTGTAGACTGAATTGAAGCATCATGCAGTGTGAGGTCTTATGATCACATTCCTCGAGGATAATTTTAACTACATTAACACATAATCAGTTCAAGAGAAAGCCAGCTACTTACGCTCTAATACAGACATGTATGTGACTTTTATCTCTTTTATGCGCTAGCTGTTCCAAAAATAAAAGGAGAAAGCTATTTTTAGACATTATAGGTAAACCAACAGGCATGCTCAGCATAGTTTCGTGCTAAAAAAAAACTACTTGATCCCCTAATGCCACTAAAGATTACACTGTTCTTTGCTTTGTAAGCCTTGCAGCAGCTCTTAGTTAAAAGCAATAAAATCCAATTGTAGATTCTCCAAAGAAAACAAAATGTTATTAATTATGTGAACTTCCCTTTGAGGTATCAAAACCTTGACACCTTATCTCTTCTGAGGTAGGAGGAGTTACCCAGAAGGCTTGGCGTGCACCCTCAAAGGCCACAGCGAGTTATGCTCGGGGTGATTGCTGAAGTTTAAGAAAGTCAACATGTTGACATTTAGCTATCAGACTGTTAAAGATGACAGAATAACTCTACCTCTGATGCTCTAGCCTACAGAAATACCTACAAGGATATATTAATATGAAACTATAAGGATGTTCTCAACGGTATCTTCATAATAAAAAAAAAGAACACAGATACCCAACAAGAGAGGATGGATAAAATAAATTATTCTAGGGGCACCTGGGTGGCTCAGGGGTCGAGCATCTGCTTTTGGCTCAGGTCGTGATCCCAGGGTCCTGAGATCGAGTCCCACATTGGGTTCCCTGCAGGGAGCCTGCTTCTCCCTCTGCCTATGTCTCTGCCTCTCTCTCTGTGTGTCTCTCATGAATAAATTAGTAAAAATCTTTAAAAAATAATTCAGCCTTCATATGGGAGAATTTTATGCAACTATCAAAAGAATAAAGTAAGGCTATGTGGACAGAAATGCAGGTAAAAATCTGTCCACATGGTGCCCACATTGCCCTAAAAAGCCAAGTAGCTCAATGTGCAAAAATGCCTAGATTTTAATCCAATTTTGTAACATAAAATTGTAGATTTATACATTTTTTAAATGTCTAAGATATCACACTCTTCCCTTTGGGAGCAAAATTTCACTTTATACATTTCTGTTTAATTTGCATTGTATGACAAGAGAGCCTATTACTTTCGTGATTTAAAAATACATAAATATTTTTCAAAGGACCACTTGGCTCCTTGAGCACAGCACAAGCACAGAGGTTTGGAGGAATCTGGGCCACAGGGGCAATGGGGGTGTCCTTGAGCAGGAGGCTCTCAGGGGCTCTAGCTTCTCCAATGGGCACCCAACACGAGAGCTCTGAAAATGTGGGCTGGGAGAGATTCTGGTATGCCTCTCCAGACTTCTCCCAAACCACAGTCCTGACCCAAAACATCCCAAAAGTAGGCCCATCTGTTAAGTTCTTTCTTTCTGCTCAGTGGATTCTTACTTGTAAATAGCATCACTGCCTTCCTTCAAAGATGGGGACCATGCAGCTCAGAGAGCTGAAGTGACCTGTCCAAGGCCATACAGCCATGGACCATTGCCCAGATTTGTCTGACTCCAAAGCTCTTATAACATGGAGAGGTATCCATATGCCTACATCCATCCTCCCCCTGAATGCGAAAGGAGCCAAGCATGGACCAAAAGAGAAAAGCAAAGGAGACCAAAAATGAAGTTAAAGAAGGGGGAAAAATGATCTAGGACCTGAGGGGTTGATTCTCTGAGCAAACTTGCAGGTTTTCCCACTAAAAAGAAATCTGGCACTCACACCTCCGGACCCATAGGGAAGCCGGCAGGGGAAGGGTTCGAGGGGGGGGGGGCAGTCTGTCAGGAACCTAAAATGTAAAAAAAAAAAAAAAAAAAAAAATCCCAGGCTCTAAGAGAGCTAGGTGGATGGCAACTTGGGAAGAACCATGGGCAAGGTGAGAGGAGCTCCAGGCCACTACTCTGGCCCCAATTCCCAGTGCTGAGAATGTGGTCTAGACAGGAAGTGATTAAGGCATGAATGAAGAATTTCCCCAAAGGTCGGGTCAGGGAAAGGACAGAGCTGGCACACAGCTGGATGCAGGGCAGAGGGGCAGGGGGATCCCTCTCCTGTGCCACCAGCACCCTGCCGGCCTTCCTCCAGAAGGAGCCATAGCGGCCCACAGTGGAGTGATGCCATCTCCACGGCCCAATTACCTGCTGCCTTCCACAACAGGCCATGGGGCCTCCGGGTGCCTTCCCCACATTTGCTCCAAGGACACATCTGCTTTCCCAAAGGGTCAAAGGCTGAGAGATCGCTTGGTTAGGAAATCCTTGCAACTTGGAGGTTCACTTCTCCCAAGGAGCCCTAAGCAAGCTCTCCCCAGAGATCTTGCCTAAAGGCAGAGTTTGCAGAAAAGACCTTGGTGCCTTGGTTAATGGTAAACTCAGTGAGTCAGTGCATGAAGTGAGGGTGTGTCTGTCTTGGGCCTCATAATTCCCCTGTGACCCTGAGCACAGGGCCTGGTAGATGCTCAACAGCTATTGTTTGAATGTGTAAGGGAGGCTACACCATAGTGCTGATTTGATCTCAGGGCACGTTACTCAAGCGTGTGACTTCTGGGAGGGCGCAGAATGTGGGGCAGCCCAATGTGAGACTCATCAGCTCCCAAACGTTAGCGACCTGGAGCACGCTCGGAGAAGAGACGGGAAGAGGAACAAGCAGGAACATTCCAGGAAGAAAGATTTCTGTTATGGGTAAAAGGGAACTTTCTACAATTTAGCATTCTCCCGTAACAAAACCTGTGTGTGCCTGGAGGGGCTGCCTCTCCCGATCCAAAGCCATCTGGAAAACCATCAGCTGGAAAGTTACAGAGAAGCAGTCAGAATGGATGAGTTCTGAGGGCCCAACCAACGCTGCAATTCTACAAACTTATCCAAGCCCCTCTTGAATTGGTTTGCATTTTTGACCTAAATGTACCAAGATCCATGTATTGGCTGCCAAGCATGTTTCATGAAAAAGAAAGATATTTATTTGTCTTCAAATCGTTTCTTTCAGTCTTCAAAAGGGATCTCTTAGTTCTAAGACTCTAAAGATCCACTAGACAAAGCTTTTTTGGACAGACTGTAAACATAATCAGGCTATGGCTCCAGCCTGTGCTTGTCAGTCTGTTTTTCAACAAACATGCCAGAGGCAGCATGGGATCGTGAAAGCACTGCTGAGCCAGAGATCCAACTGCTAATCTTGGCTCTATCTGTAATGGGCCTTGAGACCCCTGGGTTCCAGTTGATCTCACTGGCAGCCTCACCTTCTTCATCTGTAAAGTGGGGACAACTGGCCTCTCTCTCAAGGATGCTGCAGGAGCTAATTTAAGGTCTACTATGTTAAATGCACGTGCAGTGAGAAGTGTTTGAGTGCCCAGTGGTGAGAAGACAAACAAAAGAGCAGATTTAGACATAGGTATGTGTTTCAGGATGGCTGTCATTTCTGCCTTCATCTGAGTCTTGTGAATTTGTAGCCACACGTCACTTTCTGACCCTTGGCCACCTGACTTAGCTCCACCACACACTTACTCATCAAGCACAGCTCCAAGCGATTTCTTGTTCCTAAAACTCAAATCCCCCTCAGCAAGGTGAAGTTTTACTCTCTCAGAGGTAACTCAGAAGATATGCCAAGGTTTTTAAGAAAGCTCCTCAAGAGGAAGTCCAGAAGTGTAGTGAGCTTGGCACCTGGGGGGCTCAGTTAGTTAAGGATCTGCCTTCAGCTCTGGTCATGATCTCAGGGTCCTGGGATTGAGCCACACGTCAGGCTCCCTGCTCAGCAGAGAGTCTGCTTCTCTCCCTCTCCCTCTGCCCCTACTCCTGCTCTCTTGCCTGCTTGTTTGCTCTCTCTCTGTCTCAAATAAATAAATATTTTTTAAAAGAAGAAGGGCAGCCCGGGTGGCTCAGAGGTTTAGCGCCGCCGTCAGCCCAGGGAGTGATCCTGGAGACCCGGGATCGAGTCCCTCATTGGGCTCCCTGCATGGAACCTGCTTCTCCCTCTGCCTGTGTCTCTGCCTCTCTCTGTGTGTGTGTCTCATGAATAAATAAATAAAATATTTTTAAAAATAAAAAATAAAATAAAAAGAAGAAGTGTAGTGAGCAATGCCAGTGGGGTAGAAATAAGCAGGGAGTTCCCTAGAAAAAGAAAATCCTCACTTGGAATAAACAAGTTCTGGTTCCCTAGCTGAGAAAAAACAAAAGCAGCCTCCTACTTAGCCACAATTACACATAATGTCCCAGAATGCTGAGGCTGAACGGGCCCTTAGAGATCAGCTAACCTCAGCTGCCTCAAATACACACACCACCACTGTTCAGAGGAGAACACTAAGGAAAGGATGGGGAAGTCAGGAGTGAGCCAGCCGCAGAGCAGGAGCTGGCTATAAGCTTCCAGCCTCCGGGCTTCCTGAACATTCCACTACACCACGCTGCTGCTCAGCTCCGCTGAGCCCCATTGCCGGCCCAATCGCCAGCAAGCCCCGCAGAGGGTTCAGTCAGATCCCAGGGCTCCAACTTCAGCGCCAAGTAGATTTCACAGGCCTGAGATGGCTCTGGGGACTGTGTGGGTGAGGGAAACTCCCCCAGTTAGAGATAAGAGATAAGAAACTCCCGGGCAGAACTGTGTGATCTCCACACCCAGGCCTCCATCGGCAGAGCTAGGGCCCAGAAGAAATCACAGATGTATCCTTCATAAGAGGAGCTGGGATTTGGGGTAATACAGACCCAGAAAACCTGAGCAACTGATGCTCCTTCAAAAATTCTCTTTGGCTAATAGCTCCAATCTTCTCACCTACAAAGCCATTCATCACAGCCGGGGTGAAGGAAGTTGAGATAGACAATGGAAGATCTTCAGGGGCTGGGAAAGCTTTCTAACCATCAAAGATGGACTACACAGCTTTGAGAGGTAGTGAGTTCCCCATCATTGGAAAGGTACAAGAGCAAACTAGGCAGCCATTTGATAAGGAGGGGGATGGGAAGGGGGACGGGGTGGAAGCTTTCAGGATTTTCCTGCCCTGAGACTGTACAATTCTAAGACCATCAGGAAGAGAAAAGTTAGGGGCCTGGAGGATGCTGGTGAAACCCTACCTGGGAAGCACACATGTCAGCCTTACCTCCACAGCCTTGTTCCTCCCCTCGTACAGCAGCAGCTCCTCAGACAACAGGAGTGTCCGGGCAGGGTTACAGAGATCTAAAGGCTGAAAACAATGTGGGCAATTCAGAGAAGCCCAATGGAGACAGGGTGGGTGGAGGGGGAGGCAGCTTGCCAGAGCCAGCCACAGAGAACCCTGTCGGCCGCCGACCGACCGAGAGAAGGCTCCAGGCTCCCCCCACCCCGTGAGCCCACACGCCCCCTCACACACAGGTGGAAACAGAAAGACAGATACTCTTGTCCTGGGCGGAACTGTTGCCACCACCTTCCCCACCGAGCTCCACTGTAAAAGCCATGCTCTGGCAGGAAGTCCAACCACATGTTTAGGTGCTCACCATTCTCCCCCGAGCTCCCCGACTAGATGGGCTCTGGGGGGCCCTCCCCACCCTCCCTCCATCTGACCCATGCAGGGCCTCATGGAAAAGTCCCTCCTGCCAGGCCCAGGCTCTCAGAGATACCCTGAGAGCCTCATGCCAGATTTGGTCACTTAAGTCCCTTCAGAGCCAGCCCAGTCCCCACTCTACATTCATAACACCTTGAGTAGAGGGCCTCCTGCTCAGCCATCAGTCCCCAGGGACCAGTTCTCACCCAAACTCCTCAGCCACACCATCATCCTGCCCCTTTCCCACTCAGGAGCCCCTGCCCCCTGCCCAGCCCAGAGAAACCTCCCTAAATTCTGGATTACCCAGCAGGACTAATCCTCGGTGAATATGTATTTATAACATGGCTTCAGGTACCCAACACCAAGCAAGGTGCTGGAAGAAAGATAATGCAGCAGATGTCAACTGCACACAACCACCTGGATGGATCTCACAAAGACTGTGAGGCAAAAGAAGCAAGGTCCCAGAAGAGGCCAAACAAAATATGTTATCCAGGAAAGCACAGAGAGATGGTATAAATAAAGGAAAGCAAGGAAATGACTCTTAAGGAGTCGGGCTCATGGGTAGGCCTGGCAGGGAGGAGAGCATGAGGATCTGGAGGAAACATACGGCCTTTGGAAAGGCAGCAATGGCCTACGGCTTTATCTTAGGGGACACCTGCTTCGTGATTATTTATTAAACTGCACACTTGTTATGCCATTTTTGGTTTAAAAACTTTACAATTTAAAAGTTGCTATAACTCTCTGAAAACAAATTGTCATTTTTTGTAAAGATTTTAAAAGGAAAGGGGGAAATAATCCCAGTGGATGTACAGACCTCTGTGGTCTCGTCCTGAGAAAGAGAAGAGACCAAAAGAAAGGCAGGAGCCATCCGGGGAGAGGTGTGTCACCTGCCAGAGGTGCATGGAGAAGGAAGGCATGGTCAGAAATGAAGCCCCTGACTGTGTCACCTCTATGCTGCTGATGAGAGGACCAACGAACACAGTCTTTCTGGAAAGCCATTTGTAAATATATATAAAGAGCCTTTGACGTGTTTCTGGCCCATGACCCCGTCATTTCACTTCCAGGGCTCTCTTCCAAGGAAAATAATCAGAGGGGGCAATTCATGCGCAAGGATTTTCATCACAGAGTTGTTTGCAATAGCTAAGGAGGAGATAGAAGTATATCTGAACAGAGAGCTGGTTAAATAAATACATGTCCGTAAACTAGAGTAGTATGCAAGCACTGCAAAACAAAGGCTTGGAGAGTATTTAGTGACGTAGAAAATGTTCATGCTGCAACTTTCATTTCAAAAAGGCAAAATGATAGGGGTGCCTGGGTGGCCAGTCGGTGAAGCATCTGCCTTTGGCTCAGGTCATGATCCCGGGGTCCTGGGATGGAGCCCCGCATCAAGGCTCCTTGCTCAACAAAAGGCAAAGGAATAGAAAATGTACAATAAAAGTTGTTTGGTTTTCTTTCTGGAATGTGTACACACACGCAGAAAAGACACCCGAATGTTCATGCTGATTTTGTCTGGGTGGTGGAAGACATAAAGGGAGGAAGGGATGGAAGAAGCAGAGGGAGCAGGAGGAGAGGGAGATGGGAGATGAATCTCAGGCCACCAGCTCATACTGGCCAGACACATTTGCTAAGACCAAGGAGGCCAGACGCCAGAGCTCAAGGCTCACTTCCAAACAGCAAAGCACCTGATGAGCCAGAAAAGCAGAAGCCTCAGCAAGCCGGCCCTGCGGCAATGCCAACAAGTAGCTGTAGTGTGCCTGCCTGTCCCCAGAGAAAGGGAAAATTGGAAAAGGGGGCAGGGACAAGAGGCTTTCGTTGCTCGGCTTCCCTGCCCCCACTCTCCTGTTCCTCCTCCTGGAGACCTCTGCTCCCTCAGTATAACCCCAAGAATCCTGAGCACCTGAAGCCATTTCTTTCCCCAGAGGGATCCCTTCTGGAACAAGGCACCATCCCTGATGCTGGGGTGAAGGATCCTCCTCTTTCTCATCTCCCAAGGGAGCGCCTGGGGCCAGCCACTAGCTTACCTGAACAAAGACTGGAAACACGAGGACTTTGGGGGCCAGGGTGACGTAGGTGCCATAGCTTGAGTGTGGGGCATGCGGCCTCATGACCGGGCAGTTCTGGTAGTTCCCGTGGCCCTTCATGGTCTGCACTGTTTTCATCAGCCGGGACTTCTTCCCCAGGCCCGTGTAGGACTTCCCTTTACTGGGACTACCTGATTCTGCGGAACAGAAATGGGGGGACCATGAGGCATGTCCAGGCAAAGGCATCCCCTCTGCAGAAACAGGGAACACAGACTGGGCCGGCCAGTCACCACTTCCTGAGTATATGCTACCTGCCGGGCCCTGTGCAAGGTACTGAAAACACAGGGAGGCCCCTGAAGGGTCTTGAGCCTCAGGGATTCCCTCGCACTCTTCTCATGGGAGCTGGTGACACATAAATAAGCAGCTCCAGGGCTCAGAGGGAGGCAGCAATCCCCATCCAGTGTCCAAAGCTCGAATCAGACCCACCTATCATTTTGGCCTCGTGCTTTACAAAATCAGGAAATCTCTCATATTTGAGAAATCAGAAGATCTGACCTCCCAGGGCCCACAGTCCCACACAGAACAATGGGTCAGTTGGGCCGCCCTGGGTGTCAGTCACGCCCTCTCTCCGCCTCCCCGTCTCCCCCAGCCCTGCGGCTCCCTCTATGCGCCCAGTGCAGTTCACATTGTTCCATCGCCTCCCAGTCCCATGGACAAAGGGACAGAAGGTCCAGTGGGCTTTGCTAGGCTGTATCGGAGCCTTCCCTCTGTGAACCATGGGAGCTGGGGCAGCCTGGCTCGCCTACATCAGTCTAAAATAAGGAGTGGCACCTGCTGGCCCAGTTCTTGGGGAAAGAACACCAGCTCTGAGGCCCTGTGGTTGTGCCCAAATCCTACTCCTCTGCTTACTAGCTTGGTGGGTAGGTCAAGGGCAGAGCAAGCATTAGGGCTCGGCATATACCTGGGCCCCCTCCTGTATGGGCAACTGACCTGGATGTCTGGCCCATGTCTGAGGACCTAGGAGTCCTTTCGCACCCAACCCCAGTTCTGGCAGCCAAGGGGTGAAAAGGTGGTCTGAGCTAAGTCTCGGGGAAGCTCCCCGCCAACACAAGGTCCGCAGCCTCAAAGGAAAGACTCAGCTCAGAAGATCTCACACTTACTTCCTCCGCCCACCACATGCCCCTTCTCACTAATCAGGGTGAGAAAAACAAGTCAGATCCCCATGACAAGTGACCACCGATCACAGCCATATCTTGGGGCAGGACTCAAACCATAATAACTTAAACCACTTCCTGCCTCTTCAAGGAGGCAAGAGAGTAGAAAGAGTGTGCACCCAGACTGGAGGGCGCGGGGACCGAGGGCGGGATGGGGGGCTCTCACAACTGGCCTGAAGGGAAACAGCTTAGTGATCGGTATAGGAGTGGAGCGCACGAGGGATTAGCACAAACCCAAGCTGACAGACAGTGCATCCACCAGGGCTGGTGTTAGGACAGGCCTGCCAGGCCCCAAACCATACTGTGAATAAGATATCACAGGGTCGACCTGAAACTAGACAGTCTAACAGAACATGACCAAGCCTAGACCAGAGAAGGCAAAACCACACGGGACTGACAAGTGGGGGACCGAGGCAAAACAGACCAAAATTAGAGGGTACCACTTGCAGAGGCCAAAACCTGGGCCCTGTGCATCCCGTCTCAGGCTTGGAAAAGAATCTGTCTCTTCCCTTCCTTAGCCCAGCTGCACAGGGCTGTCACAGCATCTTCGCCTTGGGCCTACAGAGCCAGAAGTAAGCCGGGTGCCACACCTGTGCCTTCAGGTGGGGAAGGTGTGCTGAGCCCCACTGTATAGACCAGGCAACTGAGTGAGGCTTAGAGTAGCTGGGAGACCTGCCCAAGGATACTTGACCAGTATAGGGTATAAAGCAACATCAACCCAACCTATCCAGCAGTCATGCCTGAGAGCCCCATCTCTACACACCGCTGGATAACATGTGGCAAGGGGGCATGGCTCCCCAAAAAGGATTTTCTGAACTATCTTTTTAAAAAAACAATCCAGGTTGCAACCCAGCTGCTCAGCTCTGTGAAGCCAAACTCCGTGATTTCCCACCTGCTACCTCTTAACATCCTCTGGTCTGAACCCCATGTCACCCCTTTTTGCTAGAACACCTGCTTCACTGACCAAACACAGTAATTACTCAGCTTTCCTCTGGCTTCCGAGGCGAGCCCTGGCAGCCATCCCACTCTGGCAGTGGGGAATCTCAGGCTGGGCCCCTTTGCAGGGCAGGGGACAATGCTGAGGGCCCCAGGGCCCCAGGGAATATGCCAACTACAAGCAGCAAGCGCCCTAGGCCTCAGAAGGGCACCAGATCCCATTCAGCTCTGGATGACTCAACCCTCCCCTCGGAAAGGCCAGGTGGCCCAGCCAGAGGAGGCAGAGCTCGGCACCCTGCTGACAGCCCCAACCTCTGGAGAACCCCAAGTGTGTTTAAGGGAAGGTTCAGTGCTGCTCCTTCCTCTGAGCTCCAGGACGGGAAGCTATGAAGACTCGATTGCTGATAAAGAGCCAAGACGTCCTTGCATATCGAAAAACACTATTACCATGAAGAATAAATGAAGGAAGGAAGATCAAAGTTCTCAATACAATGCCTTCAAAAAGCTACCACTGTTGGGGCGCCAGGGTGGCTCAGTCGGTGAAGCAACTGCCTTCAGCTCCGGTGATGATCCCAGGGGCCTGGGATCGCGCCCCAGCAGGGAGTCTGCTTCTCTCTCTGGCCCTCCCCCTGCTCGTGCTCACTCTCTCTCTAATAAAATAAATAAAATATTTTTTTAAAAAGCTACCACTGTTATTAACGCTGTCATCATCTCCGTACTTGTCCCTCTCTCTTCACAGCTTAGATGACTTCTTCTTGAGTCACTAAATACCATATTCTCAGAGGGGAATCAAAACGTGGACCCAGGGTAGGAGGACTCCGTCCCACACGACTCGCCCACCGCAGGCGGCACACCTCTCCGGCTCCCGGGCTCCGTGGCCGGCCTTCCAACCCTGGCAGCCACCAGCCATTTGCCTTCACTCCGTCCCTCGGCTGAAACTCTACTGAGCACCGGCTGTCTGCCACACCCCGGGTCCAGCACCGGATCCGGATCGCAGAAAGGAGCCGGCCAGGCCCTGCCTTAATGAAGTCACCATTTAGCGGTGACACCCCCGCTCTAACCTAATGCGCTGACTAAAAGCTTTTTAAGAACTCAAGGTTGAATAACCATCAGACTCCTCCCCAGAAGGAACACAGATGCATTTGCAACAGACCAGGCTCAGCCATCCAAATGGCCTGCCCTGGAGAGAATGAAGATGCCTTCCGTCAGCAGCTCTGAGCCTGGTGGGAGCCCTCCCCTCCCCGCCCCCGCCCCGAGGCACAGGCGCTCTTCCAAGGCCCTGCTATAAGCCAGCATCGAGTTCACACTACCGATGGGGAGGCTGCGAGGAAGTGAGTCCGCAAGGAGCTAGGAAAAGGCCCCTCTCCGGGAAGGAAGTCACCGGCGTTCTGTAGGCACTAGAGAAAGGGCTGGAGCACAGGGCCACCAGGCAAGGCTGGCCACTGCCTTCCAGACACCAGACAGACTCGAGGGGGCTGGACCCCAGCGGGCACGTGGAGGACCGTCAGGAACACTACGCCAGCTCCAGCACCAAGACTGGTATCTCAGGCTTCCTGGGAGAAGGCCCGGGTCCTGAGCTCAGCTTCTCTCCCTGGCTCTTAAAACATAAGGCCTGGACTCAGAGGCCGGCGGAGAAGAACCAGGACAGAGACACCCTTTCAGCTCAAAGACAACTGTCCTGGGGTCACCTCCCTCAGGGGGCAGACCCCTCACAGCCAGTCTCTCCTCTACCCCTCCCAACAACTCTCTGATGTGGGAAGTGTCAGCCCCATTTTATAGAAAAAGAAACTGGACTCCCTGAACTCACTGGACCGAGGCTCAGGGAGGGGACATGGGTCCGTTCAGTCACGCAAATCCAATTCGAACCCTCCATGCCCCCCTCCTGGGCGGCCCCAGCATGTTGCTGGCGGCACCTAACGTATATTTGTTGCTCAGTAAAATGGAATGAATCCCAGTCAGAAGCCCGGAATCCCGAACACCATCTCTTAGACTGCTGTGGGAAGATCCCTTCTTCCTTCTCAGTTCAGGTTCCAAGGAGGAAAGATACTGGTTCAGCGAGGGAGAACAGGTATGGTGGGAAGAGAGAGTCTGGGTCAACATGCTGGGGATCCTGACAGCTGACCTCACAGCTATCTGGGACGGGGAGGCCATAGCCGCCGGGGAAAGACCCACCTTCAGGGATGGCATCCTCCTGGTACACAGGTCGCAGCAGCTGCAAAAGAAGATAGAAGGATCACCTCCACCCCAGGAATGGGGAAGGACAACCAGGTGAGCAGCCTGCAGAAAGGAAGGGAGCACCTCAGGGCACCAATGCCCAGCAGCCCGGCTAAGGAGCAGTGGAGACACTTGGAGGGATTATAGAATCCAGAATCCTCTAGATTGTTAGAGTTGAACAAAGCTTTATCTTTCATCCAGTGTAACCCGTTGGCTGAGTCCCCAGCTTTCCTGATGGCAGCTTGCTCCAGTGTGTTCCCGGGAACACTGGCACTGTAGGACACTAATGACCCTGCCACAGCCGGGACACCATCAGGGGAATTGGGGAAAGCCTGGGTCAAACCAGCCTTGACTGCAGGATACCCTCAGAGCCTCGAGCAGGCTATTACACATTGGGAATCTCCCAGAAGAGGAGGAGAGTTTGGGGTATTTCTCAAACGTATTTGACCTCAGGACACTTTTTTTCCCAGAGTGTGCCCCAGGACTAACGTTTTGGTGCACCTACTCCTCGTCCCACCGTGCCATCATGCAGGGTCTGCTTTCCCACCTATTACAGGGGGCTCACCCCTCTCACGGCAGCCCGTTCCCCACTGTAGGAAAGCACAGACTGGCAGCAAGCTCCTCCTTCCCCTGAGGTGAAATCTTCCTCCCTGTGATGTTCCTCAGGCCTGGATCTGTGCCCGGGGACACAGAGATCCATCTGCTCCCTCTCTACCCACAACAGCCCCGTGGTGGTGGAAGTGAACACGTACCCCGGCCTCCTGACCGAACACCTCCAGCCCCTTGCAGCTCCTCCCTACACAGTTTTGGGCGAGGCCAGGGACCCATACTCTTCACCTTCGCCAGACCAGCTGTCCATACCTGGCTCCCGGGGTTCAATGGGGCCAAGATGATGTAGTTGGGGTCCGTGGAGGCCGTGGCCCGGGACAGCGCAGGCAGGGTATGCTGGCCCCCACGCTTGGCCACCTCGGTGTAGCGTTCCCAGCCGCCGAGCAGCAGCCCATCTGAGCTGTCACACACCAGGTGGCAGCTGTGGCGCTGCTCGGGCCGTGCCTGGGCCCCGTGGGTGCAATTCTTCTCCCGCTTATTGGGGGGTGACTGGAGGTCATGTGTCGACTTGCAGGAGGCCCGCCGCAGGACCCCGCCGTCCGGCCCCGGCTTGACCTGGGGGACCATGCGCCACACAAGCAGGATGATCTCACTGGGGCAGCTCCTACAGTTGGGTGGGGAGGGGAGGTTCACACAAAGAGGTTGAGTTTGGGGAAAGTCAGCCAGGGCGGGGCCTACAACAGAACAGGGCAGAGGAGCAGGGTGGGGGTGGGGGAGAGAAAACCCCCAAACCCCAGGGGTCAGAGACCATCTCTAGCTGAGACAGCAAAAGTGTCCCTTCCACCAGTCAACTCTGGTTGACCTGCGGTGGCTGAGAAGGACCCTGAGGTCAAGGCCAGGTCAAACAAGAATACCCAACTCCGCTAAGTGATGTCGTCACGGGTAAAGTGTAAGCAAGGAGGAGCAAGCGAGCCACCTCCCTGCAACTTCTCTATTCTAGAAGTATACCTAAAATGATCATGAGAGTTTCATCCTAGCGGGTCGAAACTAAGGGGGACCCCAATATCCTAAAGAATATTGTCTTAAGCATGCATTCGAAAAATTTGCGACATCTACACATTCCTTTAAAAACAACAGGCTTAGCTCCAAGGTCACAGCAATTAATGAGCTCAGAGTAGAAAGTGACACCCTGGAGCAGTGACAGGAACCGCAGGGTCCATTTGAGAGCTTCTTCCCTGCTATTTGCTGTGGGGAGGGGGCGGAGGGATTCAAAATTCCTCGGAGCCTGAACCTTCCATTTTCAGGCCAAGAAGCTGATTCCCTTAGGGGCAAAGTGAATTGCTCACAGCTGCACAGAGGAGGGGAGGAGGGCAGGCCTGGTTCCCTGGGGGCTGGGGGGGGGCGGTGCCATTTTAGCCCGAGGCCCAAAGCCCCCCGCTGGCCCAGTCACCGGATCTCATGGGCCAGCTCCACGCATTTCCAGTGCTCCACGGGCCTCTCGTTCAGCTGCAGCACAGTGTCCAGCTGCTGCAGCCCTGCCCGCTCCGCTGGACCTCCTGCAGGGACAAAGAAAAGCCACCCAAGGGCTCCTGTGAAGCTCCTGACACTGTCAAAGGACCTCGAGTCACGGCTTCCACAGTGATTCTCATTTTCCTATGCGGCCCTTACTGAAAATAGAGGTTTCGTTCCTGTTTGACATGATTGGGAAGCAAAATACAAAAATATATTTTCATTTTGATAAAAACAACCCAAAGAAAATGATGAATACATTTTCATAAACCTCAGCCTTCGACTGTGGTCATTTAAAAATATTATTCTTTTGTTTTGAAAAAGTGGGACACTGTTGTGGGCCCCCCGCCCCTTTCAGATCCCACATCTTGTGGGTGAAGCCAGGCACGTGGCTGGCAAGCGAGGCTGGCATCACCCGAGAAGCGCGCTCACTTACCAGAATCCACTGCCTGGACTCGAACCGGAGAGTCACAGCAGATGGTGAAGCCAAAGCCGTCCTTCCCCCTCGGGATGGTGATCTAGGACACAGCCCTGCATGGTTACTCCCAGGAGCCACAAGGCTGCTGCCTCTGCTCCAAGGTCAGGAAGCCCACAGACCCTGCCCCAGAACCACCCTCCTCTCCAAGGGAGCTGGGGCCAAGAAGGAGGCTGGCCAGCCCTTGCTGTCCCTACCTTGGCCCAGGCATCTTTAGTACTGGGTTGTGGGCCAAGCAGGAAGGCTGGGAGCTCAGGAGGTAAGTCCAGGCTGATGGGGAAGGGCCCAGGGTGGACAGAGTCGTGGAAGAGCAAGCCTTGCCTTCCTCAGACCCCACAGACACATGGTCCAGTCCAGAGAGCCCACCAGACCCATACGCCTCCACTCCCTGTGATCCACTGCCTCCTCGGGCCCCTCTTCCTTTCCCTCAGGGGCTCACAGAGTGTCAGCCCAGGGACAAAGCCCACACACCCAGGTGGCCCAGAGCACAGAGGAAGGAAGATAGGGACATACACACTCACAACCTCAGGACAAGGGGCAGGGAACAAGGGCTAGGGGCTCAGGGAAGGCCATTGCTGGGGCTTGGGGCATCCAGTGAGGGCTCCCAGGTGAGGGGGCAGGTAAGGGCACAGACAGGCCTCCTGGTGAAACCTAAACCAGCCACTGACCTCATAGTGCCTGCTGCATGGCAGGTCCACAACCCTCCTTCAGAAGTCCCCTGAAAAGGCCCTGCGCACTCTCTTTGCAAAGCAACACACAATTATGGAGCTCCTACTGCATGCATGCCAGGTTCTGCCGAGGTCTTGAGGGCTGGTCTTTTTTTTTTTTTTTAAGATTTTTATTTATTTATTCATAGACACAGAGAGAGAGAGGCAGAGACACAGGGAGAGGGAGAAGCAGGCTCCATGCAGGGAGACCGACGTGGGACTTGATCTGGGGTCTCCAGGATCACACCCCAGGCTGCAGGCAGCACCAAACCACTGCACCACCAGGGCTGCCCCGAGGGCTGAAGTCTTGACCTCTGGCTCCTCGAGGGCCCCAAGAATATGCAGATCTCTCCAAAGCAAAGGACTCAACATGCCATGGAGCAAAGTACGAGAACCGAGAACCGAGTTGGGAACAGTTCCTTGTGTTTGACTTTGGATGGCAGGCTGGTGCAAGGCAGGCTTGGTGCATGGCAGGAACTCGGCAACCGCGTAGTGACGACAGCCCAGAGCGGTCCCAGGAGCAGCAGGAACTGTCAGGGTACACTGCTATCTGCTGGCTCAGTTCAGTTCAGCCTTGCTACACTTCCCCTCCGTGCACTGCCAACGAGGCTGTGGGTGGGGTACAGCAGGCCCGGGCCCTACTCACCCAAGGAGTGAGTCCAGGCTGCTCAGAGCAGGTGTAAGAAAGTGACAGACCTAAGGGAGGAGAAGCCAGGAAAGGGGTTCCCTGGGGTCCCAAGAAACTTCCAAGGAGAAGTGGACATGGAGAGGTCCCTGGTGAGGCACGAGGGAGGGTGTCCCAGGCAGGTTGAGGGAGAAGCCAGCTCAGCAAGCTAGAAAAGGTCAAGGGCCAGCGGCCTTGTCAGGAGACTCCTGTCCCCTTCCTCTAGGGGTTGTCTCCTTGAGGCTGGGTGCCTGGCATTCACCTACCAGCTGTCCCACAGACCAGGTGTGAGGAAGGGGAGGGCCGGGGGACCCAGGGTGACCAGGGGCCTTGGAGGCTGTCAGGGAGGCCCCGGAGGCTCTGCTTCCCACCAGCCCTGGGCCTGGATTCAAAGCGAGTTTGTAAAACAGGAAATCTGACAGACAAGGGGAAGGGGGAGGGGGGCAGGAAAATACTCTGTTCCCATAAGAATTCTGGGAAAACACGCAGCTAAGACAGGAAGAGAAAAAAAAATGGAAAGAAAGAAAGAAAAACAAACTGTGGAGTGAGTGTGCAAAGCCCAGGCTGAGGCTAAGGGAAGATGTCAGGAGCCTGGTCCACTCCCTGCGAGCAGCAAGGACTTCACGGGGCCTCTCATCCTACCCTCAGCCCAGGCAGGAGCTGGCATTCCAGAGTCTTTCTAGACCTTTCCCCTTCCGACCCCAGTAAGGGCCACAACCCCTCCTGCCTGGGGTCCTGGCTCTACAAACAGGTAAACAGGTCCTGGCACCCATGGGCTCAGTGCTAGCAGTTTGGGGACTGGCCCCAGGGTTGAATCTGGAGAGAAGTATACTCCTGCAAAAGAGCCTCCCCCTTCCACACCCTGGTCCCCTCGTCCAGGCGGGACTGTAGGCCTAGTCCCCTCTGCCTCCCAAGGCACCAGCCTAAGAAGAACCAGCCCAGACAACCATCCAAGCCAGCTGGGGGCTGGGAAGGAAGGGAAGAGGAAGGGGTGCCAGGAAGCAAGCTCCCCTCCTGGCCCCGAGTGAGGGGTGGGACTGCGTAAAGGAAGCAGAATTAAGCTCTGTCCATCATGAGCACTCACTACGGTGAGAGGACAGTCCCCAAAGAACTGGATTGTCGCTGCAGCCCCACGGGGAATGCAGGACTGGTTTTCCTATGCCCACTTCACAGAAGAGGAAGCTGAGGCCTGAAGACAGCAAGTGGCAGCCCCCAGTGCTCAGCCCTCCTCTGGGACCTGGGGTTGCAGGGTCAGGAGATGGTGGGGAGCAGGCCTGCCCGGTCTCGGGGACGTTGGCAGCTGGGAGTTTCCTGCACCTTCCGGTCACTGCTCCCAGATCTCACCCAGGCCGGCACCTCACCTCGGCCCTCTTGCCTGCTTTCTGATCCTCTGCCACACCTGGGCTTCCATCCCAATCCCTAACTGCCACTGTTTATTTCCTATATGTACTTCCCAGGCCCTGCCCCAGGCACTTTGCACACGACATTCCATCTACCCCACGGCACCATCACTGGATATTACCAACCCTCCTCCCCTGGCGAGGATACTGAGGCTCAGAGAGGTCTAGAGACATGCTCTTGAGCCTCGGGTAAAGAGGGTAAGAGCTGGGGATCCCTGGGTGGCTCAGCGGTTTAGTGCCTGCCTTTGGTCCAGGGCGTGATCCTGGAGTCCCAGGATCGAGTCCTACATCGGGCTCCCTGCCTGGAGCTTGCTTCTCCCTCTGCCTGTGTCTCTGTTTCTCTCTTTCTGTCTCTCTCATGAATAAATAAAATCTTTAAAAAAATTTAAAAAAAAAAAGAGGGTAAGAGCTGGTGCTGGTTCCTAGCATAGGATCCATCTTGGACGTCAGCGCCAGGCCCTGTCCGTACTCGTGCCTCGCTCCGCTATGACAGCTGGCGTGCCTGTCTTCTGGCCCACTGGCCCAGGTGGCCACAAACCTCCACTTCCCAAACAGCGTCCTCCACCCCACCACCCTGCACCCAGCTACTGAGGTCGCCGGGGCTGTTCTGCGGGGCTCCAGCAGGGCCAGGGGTACAGGCAGGGCCCTGAGAGCTGGGGAGGATGCTAGGGAGAACAGGTGGGTGGCAGCAAGCCGCGCACAGGAGGCCCCTCCTAGGACCGAAGGCTGTCTGTCTGCAGGAGTCGGGACCCACACTCCACTCTGGTCATTACAATACACAGAGGAGCTTTTTTTTTTTCTTTTTAAGATTTTATTTATTTATTCATGATAGATACACACAGAGAGACAGAGAGGCAGAGACACAGGCAGAGGGAGAAGCAGGCTCCATGTAGGGAGTCTGACAGGACTCGATCCCAGGTCTCTAGGATCACACCCGGGGCTGAAGGCGGCGCTAAACCGCTGGGCCACCGGGGCTGCCCCAGAGGAGCCTTTCTATACTTCTAAAATCAGAACCATTCCTGGGACGCCTGAGTGGCTCAGCGGTTGAGCTTTTGCCTTCGGCTCAGGGTGTGATCCTACGGTCCCAGAATCAAGTTCCACATCGGGCTCCCTGCGTGGAGCCTGCTTCTCCCTCAGCCTGTGTCTCTCCCCCTCTCTCTGTGTCTCTCATGAATAAATAAATAAAATTTAAAACAAAAAAAAAATCAGAACCACTCCTGAGCTTCCATCAGCTTGGCCATTCCCAAAATCTGGACGTCCCTTCCTTCACCTGCCCTGACCCCAGTCCTGGCTGTTATAAGAAAATGTGTCCAACACGGTCTCAGAAAAGCCCTGAGGCCAAGAGATCATCACCCCCACTCTGCCCCACATCCCAGAAGCGGCAGCTGAGAGGCCAAGCCCCGTCTGTGAGGATGGGCTCTGGAGCCTGAGGACTCTGGAGCCACCTCAAGGCATCACAGCGACCAGGGGGCACATCGTGTGTACACACATACGCACGGCAGCATCCCAGCTCACGTGTAAGCGCACACCAACACACGTGAAAACACATGATCACACACATACAGTGGGGGATCCTGTCCCATCAGAGACATAGGGCAAGTTGGAGGAAGTATAAAGTTAGGAAAAGCACAAAACCCAGCTGCTCGGCCATTTCGATCTCAGGCTTGGGGTGCCTTTTTTAATTTTTTTTAATTTATGATAGTCACAGAGAGAAAGAGAGAGAGGCAGAGACATAGGCAGAGGGAGAAGCAGGCTCCATGCACCGGGAGCCCGACGTGGGATTCGATCCCGGGTCTCCAGGATCGCGCCCTGGGCCAAAGGCAGGCGCCAAACCGCTGCGCCACCCAGGGATCCCTGGGGTGCCTTTTTTAAACCCACACTGCCCCCAGGTAAAAACCGCAGAAAATCAACTAGATAATCTCGCCAAGGACACCACCGTGTCGGGTTAGGATGATGCAGAGCTGGGCCCGGTCTGCCCCCAGAGAGGGGCCGCGGGTAAAGGGGGGACGTCGGGGCCCGCTCCGGCCTCCAGCCTGCCCCCGGATTGAAGCCAACCTACAAGGGGCAGGAGGAAGCAAGGAAGGCCCCGGGGGAGGAGAAGTCCCGCTCAGGTGGGCCCCCGCCCCCGGCCCCCGGCCACAGCCCGGCACCCCCGAGGGCCACGCACCCACCTGGCGGTAGCGGCGCTCCGAGCACACCTTGCAGAGCCCATTGAAGCGGTTCATGGCTGCGGGTCCCGTCTCGGCTGCCGCCCCATGAAATCCCAGCTCTC